TGTATGATCAACTGGATTTCCACAAACTGTTTTCCAAAATAATCTCCTAAAACTCTTCCTCCCTTAAAGATCTCCAACAGGACACCAATGAGGAAGAAGAGGAACAGGCAGGGGCCAGGTGTGGTGGCTGATGCCTGTAATCCCAGCACTTTGGGAGGCTGAGTGCCTCCCAAAGTCAGGAGTTGAGACCAGCCTGGCCAAGATGGTGAAACCCCGTGTCTACTAAAAATACAAAAATTAGCCCAGTGAGGTGGTGGGCACCTGTAACCCCAGATACTTGGGAGGCTGAGGCAGGAGAATCGCTTGAACCTGGGAGCTGGAGGTTGCAATGAGCTGAGATCGCATCACTGCTCTCCAGCCTGGGGGACAGAGCAAGACTCTGTCTCAAAAAAGAAAAAAAAAAAAAAAAAAAAGGAACAGGCAACAGTTCTAGAACCCACCCTTCCCAAGAACATAGAAAAATGTCCACGCACGTGCCCCACAGTAAAAGCAGCCACAGTCTGGTGAAATATCTGCTTCTAGCTTCCCGTTTAGGACATTGTTCCTCTCTGTACTTGTTTGCTAGGGGTGCCGTAGCAACATGCCACAGTCTCGGGGGCTTAAACAACAAAAATTTATTTTCTCACAGTTCTAGAGGCTAGAAGTTCAAGATCAGTGAGTCCACAGGGTTGGTTCCTTTTTTTTTTTTTTTTTTTTGAGACAGGGCCTCACTCTGTCACCCAGGATGGAACACAGTGGCATGATCTCGGCTCACTGCAGCCTTGGCTTCCTGGGCTCAAGCAATCCTTCCACCTCAGCCGCCTGAGTAGCTGGGACCACAGGTGCACACCACCACGCCAGCTATTTTTTTTTTTTTTTTTTTTGTAGAGACAGGGTTTCACCACGTTGCCCAGGCTAGTCTTGAACTCCTGTGCTCAAACAATCTACCTGCCTGTGTCTCCCAAAGTGCTGGGATTACAGGTGTGAGCCACCAGGCCCGGCCAGGGTTAGTTCCTTCTGAGGGCTGTGAAGGAAACACCTGTTCTAGGCTCTCTCCTTGGCTGGTAGATGCCTTCTTCCTCTGTCTTCACATGGTCTTCCTTCTGTGTGTCTGGGTCTGTGTCCTAATTTCCTCTTCTTATGAGGACACCAGTCATAATGGATTCAGCTCCATCCTAATGACCTCATTTTAACTTAATTATTTAAAGGTGCTATCTCCAAATATAGTCACATTTTGAAGTTCCAGGGGTTATCAATTTGGGGTGGAACGGCGGGGACAGAATTCACCCCACAACAGCCTCCCTCCCTCTTCCCAAGTCCCCAGTCACCATATGTCACTCTAATTCTAAAGGGCTCAAACTCTGGGGCGTGGCAGATGTGTGACTTTGGATAAGTTAGTTAACCCCTCTGCCTTGGTTTGCGCATACATAACACTGGGCTAACAATAGTAGCTGTCTCATAGGGTTATTAGGGGAATTAAAGGAGTTATATGTCTAGAGAACTTGAACAGCACCTGGCACAGAGCAAGCACTAGATAAGTGTTTATTAAATTAAACATTGAAATCAACAACTCATTTTTACTAAACTGTTAGGAGAAGCTTGGCATGGTGGTGCATGCCTCTAGTTCTAGCCACTCGAGAGGCTGTGGTGGGAGGATTACTTGAGCCCAGGAGTTCAAGACCAGCCTAGGCAACATAGCAAGACCCAAAAATTCTCTAATTTTTTTTTTTTAAATTAGCCAGGTGTGGTGGTGTGTGTCTGTGGTCCCAGCTACTACTCCAGAGGCTGAGACAGGAGGATTCCTTGAGCCCAGGAGTTGGAGGCTGCAGTGAGTTATGATCTCATCACTGCACTCCAACCTGGGCCACAGAGAGAGACACCATCTTTAAAAAAATGTTTTTAAATAAAAATTAAGACAATTTAAAAAGTGCTAGGAGACTGTTATGTCACCCTCCCAAAGAATTCGCTTTCTCTGGGCAATGCTTAATATCAGCAATGGAATCACCAATTCACCATAGGGGAACCATATATATTTGAGGGTGAGGATCCCCAACATTCTTCAAAGTACTATTTGACAACTACATGATCCACTCTGAAATATTAGCAGTACTCAACATTTATTAAATGCTAATGATGGGGCCGGGCATGGTGGCTCACGCCTGTAATCCCAGCACTTTGGGAAGCCAAAGTGGAAGGATCACTGAAGGTTGGGAGTTTGAGACCAGCCCGGCCAACATGGCGCAACCCCATTTCTACTAACAATACAAAAATAAGCTGGGCATGGTGGCGGGTGCCTGTAGGCGCAGTTACTAGGGAGGCCAAAGCAGAGGATTGGTTGAACCCTGAGGCGGAGGTTGCAGTGAGCCATGATCATGCCACTGCACTCTAGTCTAGCGACAGAGCAAGACTCTGTCTCAAAAACAAAAACAAAACAAAACAGAACTAATGATGGGCCAGGCACTGTGCTAAGTAAGGGCTTTCCTAGTATTTAGGCTGTGAGGTGGGTACTATTATTATTCCCACTTTACAATTGAGAGAATGGAGGCTCCAAAAAGCCATGTCTCAAGGCCATGCTCCCCAGTTAGTAAGTGGTCCAATAGTTTGTGCAAATTAAGGACTGCCAGACTTAGAGTGTCAGGGAGAAAGAGGTTTCTCCTTCTCTCCCACTTTTTCACCATCCCCTTCTCTTCCCCCTCCGCTGAACGTTGCATCCGCACGGCCAAGACTGCACCCCCTCTTCTACAGACAACATCCAAGCTGCTGGGACCCGACCCAGCGCCACCTTGTGAGCCCAGCATTTCGAGGGGCAGGCTTCCAAACAGGGTAATAATCGTCCCATTAAAATTAATGTCCATGAAGTGAGCCGTTAAAAGCGTGCAGATTAAAAAGTGGGGGGAGGGAATTGTTCAATTTAAATCCAAAGGGCTTTTTAAATAGACACTGTGTCTTCGTTCTTGGAACGCTACACCCGGGCAGTGGATCAGGTCCCCTCTGCAAAGACTAAGGGGGATTAAGGAGGTGAGTCCCAGGAGAATGGGAAGTGGTTCTGGCCAGAAGCAAAGGGAACTAAGGTCTATCCAGGGCCCACTGCGTGCCAGGTGCTTGGCACACACTTCTCTCATTTAATCTCTGCCCCAATCCTGGGATGGAGGTATTATTATTCCCAGATTACAGGGGGCAGTATAAAACCGTGGTTAAGAGCTTAGAGCCTGCGGCATACTGCCCTAGTTCAGATGCCGGTTTCATTCTTAGCTACTCTATGAGCTAGGGCAAGAGGCCTCATCTACCTGTGCCTCAGCTTCCTCATCTTTGAAATATTATAGTAATTGCATGTAGAATAGTTGGGAGATTTACCTTTAGGCAGCAGAGGCAAGAGCGCCCAAAGCCTACAGGTGCCAGACATAGAAGGTGCGCAGTAAGTCTCGGCCATTATGAAGCCTAGGATAATTGGAGCTGGGTGCGGGAAAAGGCCACCAGAATCACACAGTGTTGTGAACTCTGACCCCTGACTTTGTTGTCATTTCAACACGCTGTAGGCCAAAAGGGACATTTCTCCTCCTGATCAATTCAGACCAAAACTAAGTTCACAGACTTGAAGAATCTTGGTGATACTCTGCGGTGGGAAGGAAAGAATGGAAGCTTCCTCAGCAGGTTCCAGACTCCCAACTTGGAGCCACCTCTGGACTCATCCCGATCGTCTGAATCCTAAAGTTGTCTGAATCCCAGTCGATTTAAGATCGCAGGTTTCATTCTCCCCCCACAGAATGCTGAGAGCCGCCCAGCCCATCTGAACCGTCACTGGCTGTGACAACTCCAGACGCTCCAGTCTGGAGGTGCACAGGAGTGGCTGTCGGGTTGAAAAAGGAGGAATTAAAGTCCCCCGCGCCCCTCCTCTCGCCGACTCCTTAGGGTATTCACTGCGCATTAAATTGGGATCGTCGCAGAAAACCGTAACCCCATCAGGAAAATAATATTCACAAAGAAAGCAGACAAGAAGTTTCCCTTTAGAAAGCCCCTTGTGAGGGTCTTTTGGGTGTGGGTGCTGGGCAGCGAGAATGCCTCCATCCACGCCCCTCGCGAGCTCAGGACCGACCCATTCAGCCCCCTATCACGCCTACGTCAGGGTTTCTAGCCAGGCGCTGGGGCCGCGTTAGGGTCAGGCTAAATGCCTACAGGTGCCAAGTCAGACCTGAAACGAGGCAAGTTAGGTGTAATCTGGCTCTTCCATAAGATTTTGAATCCACCCACCTCCCCCAAACAAAACAACAGCCTCGGAATATTTTTGAATAATGCAGTCGAATTCAGTATCAGCTTCATCCAAAACGGCAAACAAGCCTTCCCTCGCCAAATCGGAACTCGAGCTGAATTCAGGAAAAGGGGAAGAACAACCTTCCCTCGCGCTCCTCGCCTCCGCGGGGGTCCCCTGAGACCCCCAAAGCCCGGGACCTCCGCTGCGGGGCGCCTTCTCGCG